CAAAAAAATATACGTATTTTGGAAATGTTGAGTCGGATTAGTCTAGAATCGATTAATTTTATGGAAGAAAACCTTTCAATCAGCCGTAGTCCGTAAACTTGACACACGTCGGGCTGTGATTGGAAGGACTCGTAAGAAATCGGATTCCTAAAGAATGGAACGTATCTATGATCTTATAGGGGGGGTCGACTGTAATTGCATTTATTTACAGTAAATGTTTTCTAAGATGCAGAAAATGAAATAGACAATAGTTATAATTACATTACTAAACACAGAATAAGTAATAACAATATAGTAATATATTCATATACTTACCAGTTTCTGTAACTGTGGTTTCTGGACTCACTTCATCTGGAGTTAATTCCCAAGGTAGCTAAAATGGCAATTTGTTTAAAATATTAAATGATCTCTTTATTCCAATATTTAAAAACAAATTTGTCAAACTGTACAGCTGCTTTTAAATTATAACAATGGGACACTACATTTAGTGTAATATTATTATTTTTACCAATATAAAATATATTTGAATCAATATTTTACAATTATATCAGTTATATAAATTTCAAAATTTTTTAATAGAAATAACTTAAACAAATTCTCAATATCTAAGAATTAAACAATTTTATTTTTTTGTTCCTAATTTCAAATCTATAACATAAACAATTCATAAAAATGTTAGTAAACTATTTAATTTATATATAAATTCTACCACTATAACTCTAAGAACAGTTTCATGAAATTTGTTAAAAACGTAAGAAAAGTCTAATTTTGATTTAATTTGATTTTTGAAAACTACACTTAAATTTAAATTTTATACTAAAAGAAACTGCAAACAAAATTATCATCTTTTTGTAAGCTCAAATTGGTAAATGTTGGCAGTGACAAGAGCAATGCCTTTAAATAAAGTATACATTTTGATTACCATATATTTCCGCAGATAAGATGATAGTTGAATCATAAAAGAAGGCCCCAAAATCCGAAGTCATCTTATAGGACAGATACAAAAAAATTAGATTGAAATTTATATAAATTAAAACCATTGTAAAAAAACAAACAAACCTTAATTATTTACCAGTAGAGAGTAGGGTGTGTCCACAAAATAGAATAGCCCATACACTATTTTTGTGAATAGTCAAGGTCAAATGCCCAAATCAGTGTGAATGTTTGCAACAATAGAAGGCAGTGCTGCCAGATGCAAGAAAATAAATTTTTTCATTTGAAAAATTACAAATAGGATATACAGGTAACCCCTGTATAACACGGGAGTTACATTCCAAAAAATTGCTGTGTTATGCAAATCCATGTTATACAAAACAAAGAACTAATACGAAAAGGAGGGTTAGGTTCCAAAAATTAAAAAAAACATGCTATTATATTTTCATAATTAAGATAAGAAAATTTTAATAAAGATATTTAATTGATACATATTAATATAAATTAAATAATGTTTTCTTTGTTATCACTAAAAGCACTATTAACCGAGGATAACTTGCCAAAAAGAAAGCGGCAAGTTATCCTTATCCTCTGAGCATTTTTCTGCATTATCTTCAGATCCATGCTTTACCTTTTGCAAAAAGTATGTAATTTTAGACTGCTTGCTTCTAGTTAAAAGATCTTTATAAATTTCCTTATATGGTGCTAAGCACTTATGAAGAATAAAGCAAGTATGGAATAAGGGAAAAACATCTGGCAACATCAAAAGCAAAGTGTCGAGATCTGGCAACATTGAAACAAGTTTCAAGAAGGACCATGTGTATCGACAGAAGGCGAGAAAAGAAAATTTACATACTTAAGTACTAATAGTTCACAAAAATAATAATTTTCATGAACTATTAGTACTTAAGTAGTAAAAATTTATTACATTTCATGTTGTACAAGGGTTTTACCCAATTCTCGAACCATGTCAGAGTGAATCCGTGCTATAAAAGTGCCGTGTTATATGGGGGTTACCTCTAATTCGATATACGCTATACAGTATTATTATCCAGATGATGATCGCTGATCTAAACTGAATTCATAGGCTGTTGATAGTTTGGGGGTCATCTTATAGGAGATATATATGCTAAAACTATAAAACTTTGACAAAAATTTATACCTCGTCTTATCTGAAGGTAGTCTTATCTGCAAAAATATACAGTATATAATATGTATTTGAGCAAGAATTTCACTAATTCAGACTTTCACTACTTCAGAATAGGCTTTCCATCACTTAGTCTGAATTAGTGAGATTCTACTCTATTTTATAAATCTTACTATTCTAGATTAATCATCTTTTCTTTTAATTGGCCAATCTGTCTAGAAAATTTGTAATTAATTAAGTGGCATGATTATACAAACTATAATTAGTTTTATATTGCCTGACATACAAAATTGATTACAAATCTATAATTATCTATAAATATTTTCTCAGAATTAAAACTCTTGATATTTGACTTATTTCACATAATTTGATTTTTCTGGGTGATCACACAGATGGTATTCAAACGTACTTATATGTTCTTATTAATTTCTCTGATGGAAAAATGTTTATTTTATGATTTTTTTATGTATTAAAATTAAATTCAAATTCAACTGACACGTATAAAAGATCTTGTACAATGCATATTTAGTAATAACCTGGAATTTTCAATTATCGTTAATTATTAATTTTTTTATTGTTTCTAAAGACTACACAAAAAAATAAACTTTTTAGTAGATGAGAGCAACATGTTTTCTTTTAAATTCATATTATTTAAATTCAGTTATGAAAAGAAATATAGTACTGGACGAAATGAGCAGCATGCTTGGAACCAGTAGTTGTCCAAATTTCTAGATTTTCTGATTTTTTGGACACAGACTAAATACATACTTAAAATATAAAATAAACAATAAAAATTAAAGAGTGAAATTGCTTTTAAGACACACTGGAAATGGTATTGTGAGATTCATATGCCACAGAAATCAAAACGAAGCAGCCAGTGACTACAGCTGTACTATAATATGTCAAATCCAAAAGTAGCCAGTTTCAAAAACTGCCAATTTGTCTGGTAATTCCAAATTTGGTCCAGCACTATATTAATTTGACATCAAAATCTGTCATTTTAAATATAAAACATTTTATCATCAAATTTCTAGTATACAAAATTGAAAGATTAAAAACATAATATAAGAATATACAACAATTTTCTGAAAGCCTCAAACAGGATCTATTGATGATGTAATCATGGGCAAATATCACAAATTTTAATATTTGTTGCATTGAAAAATTGATTTTGTAAAATAAGTTAAATATGCACTGGATGTAAAATAACAAATTACGTAAATAATAAAAACTAAAAAGCAAAGTGTGTATTCTAAATTTAGGACACAGGAAAAAGCTGATGTTCTGGATATGCACAGTCATGAAAAGTGCAACACCCATTAAAATATGGTATTATCCAAGAAAAATTTCCATATAGGTAGAATAATACATGACAGAATAACGAAGATGTGTTTCTGGTATATGCTTTTGGTAATTATATAGATAGTAACCATTAAGAATCAGGTTGAAAGTACAGTAGATCCCCCTATAAAACCGTTTCCTATAGTTATGATTCCTATAAATATTGTGGCATTATCCGTAAACAACGGTAAAAATAACTCCTATAATACGTAAAACGTCATCGGGCAGCCGAACTACTTACCCGCCGTCCGTAGCGCCACGCTACGGAGAGATTTCTATCGTCTGGACAGTATTATATAAATTATATATAAATTAGGTACTGTACATATAATTATATATTAATTATATATAAATTAGGTACTGTATATATAATTATATATTAACTTAATTTATTGTAACTTTATTATAATTAAATATATATTTTTCGCCGTCTAGCGTCACGCTACGGCGAGTTAGGCGACCTATCGTCTGTTTAGTACTGTAATTTTATACATTTCTTGTGAAAGAAACATTTCTTATTTAACGGCCATAAAAATTATTTATATTAATGATGTCTCCAAAGGTCAACGAAGTTTTCGCAGAAAAATAATATCAGAAATCGCGGCCGCAATTTGATGCGCTGTTCCGCGACGAAACCAAGCTTTAGCAACGAGCGTAGTCAAAGGGTACACACTCGGTAAGTAATCCTACAATTTTTTGTTTATAACGTAGTTTATACGGATTATTTTATAAAAAATATACGTATTTTGGAAATGTTGAGTCGAATTAGTCTAGAATGGATTAATTTTATGAAAGAAAACCTTTCAAACAGCCGTAGTCCGTAAACTATGATTCCTACAAAATTGATTCATAAAGAACGGAACGTATCTACCGTCTTATAGGGGGATCTACTGTATTTTATTTGGAAAGCTCTGAACAGATTACTATAAACAACTGATTGAAATACATTGTTTATAGTAGTAACAATGCCAGGAAAACAGTGTTCTGTCAGAGTACAATGCTCCCGTTGTTCGAAGAGAACAAAACAAATGAAATTTTGTTTGTGTAAAGACTGAAAACATGTCAGATATAACAGATTTTCCAGAAAAACTTTTGTTGCATAATCATATTTATTTGTGATCTAACATAGCATTGTCATAATTAAAAGATGACAACTTTAAGTTTAACCAAATATATTTTATTTTTAAATGCTCACTAAATTTTGAATTTGCAGTTTAATCTTGAGTAATTGTTTCATTAGATTTCAATAGTTCATATTAAGAACATTTGCATTTATCTGAAAGCTCATTGATTCTCATATATGTATACTTTGTAAAGAAAAATAAATAAAATTTGTTAAACTTTGGATTGTCAATTCCATAACTAGTATCGTTTACTTTAAATCGAAAATTTTTTAAGAAAGTGTGGTCATTTTTACAAGAAAAACAAGCTAATAAAATGCTTTTACTGTATTTTCAAGATTATTCATTTTAAAAAACTTTCAAATCAAGTAGTGTACAAGTAGCTTATCTGAAAATTTTGCAACTTGCACTTTATTATGAAGTACTTGAATAGTTTTTCCTTTGTCCAAAGTCATTTTTAGAAAACATGAAACATGACATAATGACAACATGAAACATAAGAATTGTGACAGAAGTATATGCTTCTGTCACAATTCTTCCCGAACCTATTGAGGACACATGAAAACATGTTGCCAGTCACTCTTTTCCAATTCATTTCTATATATCAATCCATGTTTTAATCAAAGTTATAAAATATTTGTACTTATTTCTATCATACAGAATATGCTTTAATTATATAAAATCATTGGTTGAAATATAGGGACTAAACTTGTACATTGAAAACTGGTAAGTTTCCAGAATTGCCCTCTCTATACAATAATGCTTCAAAAAACTAACTTAAAAATGCTATTAAAAGCTAACTGTCAATTTTTCATATGTTTGTTCTCTACA